GAAATTGGCCTCAATGATTTGGGATCGAGGGGGATTATCCCTCTTTATCCTGCGCTTTGTGGGACCTCCTTTTGTCCTGGCTGGGCCCCGGCCCCATCCGTCGTCTACCCCGACCGCAAATGCGGCCGGTGTAGGCGCTTTGTGGGACCTCCTTTTGTCCTGGCTGGGCCCCGCCGGCTAGGTTGGGTAGGGTAGTGCGGCTATGCAGCCTGGGACGCGCTTTGCTAAGGCGGCCCTTAGCCCAGCGATGTAGGGGAGGGGAAAGGAAGGTATGGGGGGTGTGTATGTGTGTGTCGTTGTCTTCGTTTCTTGATCCAGGCTGTCTCTGAAACAAAAAAGGTTAGCGGGCGGGGGGGGGAGATGAGGCAGGATAAAGAGGGATAATCCCCCTCGATCCCAAATCATTGAGCCTAATTTCTAGCCGTGGAATAATGGCGCTCCGCTTACTTAGTTTTCAAATTTCTCTATAGCAAGGCCGCCAACCCCTCAACAATAATTATTTTAATACGTTTTACTGAAATTCTACTCTGCTCATCACGGAACTCACACTGAATCTGCACTGAATATATCCAATCCGTAGATCAATAATCTTTTTCTATGATCCAATCCAATACTCTACGAAACGAACAAAACTATTTTTTCATATAGGGGAATTAATTGGGTGATATTGGTAGCAAGCTTTTTACCATTCAGCGTCATTGGCGTCATTCCATCTCCATTTCTGCGTTTCTTCGTTCGCCATTGTCGTTATTTATTGGACGCCGGTATTTAATTGTGTTTTGTATAATTCTTAACTACTACTGAGTATAAATATGGTAAGATTTGTTTTAAATGAATATGCATAAATAAATTGACATTTTAAATCTTTTGTAGAGTCGTGGTAGATCTGCAACTACGACTAAAGTATTCGTCGGAAGTCTTCCTCCTGGTGTGACCCCTGATGATTTACGTAAATTATTTGAGCCCTATGGAGCCATCGCAGAATGCGACATTGCAAACAGATGTGGATTCTTACACTTAGAGGACCAAACTTTAGCAATGAAAGCAATTGAAGAATTGAATGGTACAGAATTTATGGGAGGTAAAATCTCGGTTGAAAAAGGACGTGTTAAGCCACGACGTAGTGGAGGCGGTCCTATGAGGGGTGGAAAAGATCGTGGGGGACCATATTCCAGAGGTGGTGGAGATTTTAGGGGTCCGCCACGTAATGCTGGTTTTGGGGGTGGCAGAGACTATCCTCCTTTCAGAGGAGGTGACCGCTTTGGTGGTGGTGGATATGATAGGCCACCTCAAAGAGGTGGTTATGGTGGAGGATATGGGGGCCCAGATGACCGAAGAGGTGGATTTGACGATAGAAGAGGAGGTGGTGGTGGCTTTGGAAATGACCGATTTGGTAAGAAAATATCTTGTTTGTAATTTATATGTTTTGTAAAAACAAATAAATAAAAATATTCTTTTAGACCGTCGTCCCCCATATGATGACAGAGCGGGACCAGGCTCATTTCCAGATAATCCTAGAGGAGGTTTTGATGACAGAAGACCTCCAGGAGGTGGTTATGATGACAGGAGACCTCTATTGAATGACCGAAGGCCACTAATGGATTCGCAGGTACCCAGAGGTGCAGGTGGTGGCTCTTTCGAAGGTAGAGCGGGAGCACCTGATTTATTTAGCAGAAGAGATCAAGGTGGACCACCTAAGGGAGGGTGAGTTTAATAAATATATTTTTAGTATCTTTTTGACATTTTTGCTATAAATGACATTAATGCTAATCATATATTTTAATTTTTTAGTTTTAATGATCGAGCTGGAAGTTACGGTGGTTCAAATGGTTATGGGGGTGGTCCAGCAGGTGGCGCATATGATGGAGCTGCCTCTGGTGGTGGAGGATATGGTGGCGGATATGGTAGTTCTGTACCAGCTGGAGGCGGTTATGGTGACAGAAATTATGGAGATGGTAATGGTGCCCCTGCTGCCTATGGAAGTCCTGGAGGCTATGGAGATGCATATGGAGGAGGAGGTGGTAACCGTGGTACATATGATACTGCTTATCCTCCACTACCTCAACAGAGAGGGTAAGTTATCTATTTTTTGTGTGTGGTTTTAAGAACAATCCGAAAAATGTGTAGCATTGTTTGGCACAAAAATTGGTTCTCTATTTCTACCTCTATATTCGTTTCTACAATTGCAATATTTGTCTTATTCGTGCATTTGTTATAGGGTTAGTAATAGTGTACCTCAAATTAAAAAGTACTTTGTTTTAAATGTATCCAAACTTTCTGTCCAATGTAATATAAATACATATTACATTTAGTTTAAAATTTTTCCTGTCAGTAATTTCAATTAATAAATCAAATATTGGCTATGTATTTTAATTCTTTCTATTCGACTTTATAAATCATGCTGCATGTAATATAAAGTCTTGACATTTTTTTTTATTATTATAAGCAAACGTGGTAAAATTTAAATATAATAATTCATTTAAGATAGATTCAAGTGCTGTTCCAATAATGCCTCAAAACCATAAGAAAATTTCCAAAAATGTTGACCCTTGTAATATTTTCTCAAGTATAAAAAAATGTTCATATCATCTCAAATCTCGATATTCTCTGTCTCTTTTTCATTTCATTCAGTTGAACCTCATTCTCAAACATGATAGGGTCGTTGCCTTCTGCAAAATTTATAGGGTGTCCAAGAAATGGATGGATTTGAGTAGGTCTTCTCTTCCAGAAATAATGTCATAAGTTTTTATAAAAAAATTTATTTGTGCTCCCCTATAGAATTAGCTCTAGAAGTTGAGTTATGAAAGTAGATTTTTTCATAAATTTTTTGTTCCTTGATAAATTCAAATAATTTTCAGGTAGAAAATATGTTATATGAAACTTAATTCTACTAATGTATTCAATTTACTAATGGCTACAGGCCACAGGGCTAAATGTCCTCAGCAGTGTTGACCACGTAAAAAAGTTTATAGACTTCCTTTTTTTTAATTCCCATTTTTAAAATTCCATACCTTTTTGAGTGAAAAATATGTACTCATTAGTTATAGGGTATAGCAAAAGTACCGGAATGGCAGAATAACTCAGCGGGAGGGCATTTTAGAGAAAAATGTTAAATACAAAAGTTTCAGGATTTCTCCCTGGCTATCCGCTGGTGACCTTCACATTGACCTTGGCCTTGAAGGTCATTTCAAGGTCGAGTTATTCTGCCGTTCCAGTACTTTTGCTATACCTTGTATGAAATGAACTGTTTTCGAGATAACTGAGTTTATTAATGAAGATATCCTACTTGTACCTCGTCTTAATACAAGGATTGCCTTTTATATTTCGGGAATCGACGATCCGGGTGCTGCCATCTGACAACCGAAGTCCCTGTTGTAACTCAATCAGAATGGAAAAAGTGCTTTGAAAATTGGTTCCAGCATGGAGAATATTTTGAGAAACAATAAAGCCATATATGATAATTAACTTCTTTTTTTGTTTTTTTTTTGTCTATAACAGAATACCTTTTTTGCTGACAAAAGAAAAGAAGTCTTAAGAAATAGCAACAAAAGTTAAAAAAACGTCTAAATATTTTTTTGGGGTCAAGACTGCCAAGTGCGTCCTGCCCTTTGGCCACCAAGTTAGTTATTGGTAAACTGAATAAGTTAGTAGAAATAGCTTGAAATAATATAGCTGCTATTATCACAATTTAATAAGAAATATTTACGAAAAATCAACTTTCATCTCTACTTCAAGACTAATAACTCTACAGGTTGTTTCCGAATAAGAAAACTATGTATAAATTTATGAATACTGTTTTTGCAAGGCCTTCCCAAATCCAATATATTGCCAAATGGGAATATCTGTACACTTTGTTTATAAAATATTGAGTAAACATAAAATACTTATAAATATACAACAGTTACTATTTTGTTTATTATATAATATTAAAGTGGGGGAGTAACATTTTTCAAGTTTTAGAAACAGTAACTTTCATTTACATTGACAGTTCTGTTATATATTATGTTGCAAAGTTGGCAGTACCAAAAATGACCAATAGTAGCAGCTAGTCACTTTGTAAATATACAATACACTGGATGAGGTCAATGAAAGTTAATGCAAACAATATAAGTAGTTTCACCTAACTCCTTGATTTAAAAAATTTCAATTTGAATCATACACTATTGTCATCAACCTTGTGACATATTAGATTGTGAATATATTATTATAGAAAACTTCTTATTTAAATATCTCATATCTATGTCTTAATAAATAAAAGGAGAAGCTTTATGGTATGACATTTTAATTGAACTTCCTATTAGGAAATGGCGCAATTAAAACATAATTTAAGATCTCTGACCAATTTTACAGAAATAAAAAAGAACAGATCAAGTTTTTTGCCACTGTTGCGGCAAATACATAAATTTAATTTTATGGTAATATGTGAAAAAATGACAAAACACACCGTTCCTTATATTGCTCGAAATCGTACAATCAATTATATATTTTTCTTTACAATTTCTAAAAATATACTTTTGTTTTCCATACGTTCTCGGTCTATCAAGTGCGCGTTTTATAAAGGTTTATCCGCTGCGTTACGTCTGACAAGCTGCAAGTCATCCAATATGGTAATTAGAAATGAATTATTTTACATTTTCTTTTGCAAAAAGATGATCAAAAATTAAAAATGACAAAAAATATGTAAAATTTTTACACTACTTAATTTTTTTTTTAATATTTAAAGGTAGTTGAGAATGACCCTATTCTACGTGCATCTTGTTGAATAACAGCTGTTTACTATTTACATATTTTTTATTTTTATAAAATCTTATAAATTTGACAAACATTGATAATATTCACCGTTTACATAAAATTCAAATATCACGAGAAGGTTTCTAAGTTCATCAAGAATTTTTATCACATTAATTCAGTAGACGTACATGAGTAGACAATTTTTGTATATCAGTCTTATAGTAAACTTGAACTTTTTTCGTGATAATGCATGGACGTCATTATTGACATAATTGTGGAATAAATTCTTTATTATATCATTTAAACATAATTTTACCAACATAATGCGTTAATATTCCATTCATATATTGTCGAGTAAAATTGACTTCCTTTCAAATTTCACCATTCAAATAAGTTCACCATTCTGATAATATTAAGTATATATTTAACTAATATTTTCTCGAATACAAGGGTAATGAATATTCATGGATGAAGCATTCTTTATTAAAAATAATAATTTTTGTATTTAGGGTGCTTCTCAAGTAATCTGAAATATTGAAAGGGGCGATTCCTTACATCATTTAAGGGGATTTTCTAGGTGCAAATCAACTCGGCAATTCCTGTCTGCATACTCTGCTCACCGCAATACTCATAAGTTATTCGTTAGACCTGTATAGAACTTCAGCAGCGATTTAAAATTTGTCATGATTAGCCGATGAATTTCCTGCGCTATTAGAGATTTCATTAGATAGCGATACTGTCCAACCCTTTAAAATTAACTTTCTAATTTTCATATTACATTGTTGAATATTTTTGTATAAAAATTAACATGAAAATGAATAAAATGGTTCTCCACTTCTGAGGGAGCTGTTTATTTAGTCATTTTATATATTTTAAACCGGTGGTTGTCCCCTTAAGTATCTGATATAACTTAGGAAACACCTGTATAAAGTATATTAAATTATAACTTGAAATGGCTTGATAAAATTTGTTTCACAGTATCAGTACTATGTTTCATAATAACTTAGCGGTTTAATAATTTTAGTTAATTCAAAGTTTTTAAGCCATGTGATTGTTAGTAACTTTAAGTTATAAGATTTTTTTTTTTATTAATTTGTAAATTTGTAAAATATAAACTGGCAATATAAATAAATCCCTCTCAGACATGTTCAATAAAGTGGAAGAATGTACAACAGTTTTGAATTATATTGGAAATATAGAATGAGTTACAATGGTACTATTAGTACATAAAATTTTAGCTTGAAATGTAATTCCAGTGGATTGATATTAACATAATCAGACCCCTCTTCAAAATAAAAAATGTATGCCATTGGCCAAAATGATATATTTTTTTTGAATTATACAATTACATAAGCTAAAAAAAAATACTCTTAATTTTCTGTGAGAAAACCTATAGTTTTGCTGTAAATTAAGATGAACTGTGATGAGTGTAAAGTAATAAATTACAATTTGTAATATTAAATTTTATAATTACACAAAGATAAAAAATACACAAAATTATAAAATATTTTCAGACACATCACTGGTACTGCATATTAAGCTGAAGTGCCAAATTTCAAATTTAGGATCAACTCGTTGATCGATTTAATTTCAACTTAAACATCCAGTAACTCACAAATGAAGCAACTCTGAACTGAGGTAGATTTGGTTCAACTATCATATTTTGGCCTCAATATTATTATTTATGTCCCTTCATTCAAATGCACTCTGCATAATTTATGGTGTAGATTCGGGCTTTTTTTCCTCCCTAGTTACGGTTGTACAGGGTGCTACAAAAAAGTAGTCAAGCTGAAAATCACAGATTCTGTGTATGAAAATAACAGGACTTTATACCATTTTTTATGTAAGTATTTTCAAGATACAGGGTGTCAAAATTACAATTTAAAAAAATGTTGGCATTAAAGAAAAATTTTTTTATGACAAATCAACTTTGGCAAGTGTTTTGGTTAAATTTTCTCTTAATTTACTATCAAGTTCTGTAAGTTAACAAAAAATTTGAATATTGCAACTCAGAAAACAAGACAAACATAAAAAGGCAATATTTTAAAAATTTATGACAAATTTGAATTGACCACAGTCCGTAGAATATTTGTCAAGATAAAATTTAAATAAAACATTTTCTTTGCTACGTTGTTTTTTAACTTGAGCCATGTCGTGAATGTCTTTCTACCTAAGGTGTCGAGAATGCAGTTAATTCCAAGAAAGTGACACAGAGGTCATCTTGGAATTCTATTTCAACAAATATCACTGTAATAAAAATTAACGAAAACAATAAAAAACATCAAAGCAAAACTATTCATTCACATGATTAAAAATTGTAACAATTTTAAAGAAAGCAATAAAAAACATCAAAGCAAAACTATTGATTCACATGATTAAAAATTATAACAATTTAAACTAAATGTTCAATATGTATAGCACCTTCGTGAATGTACACTACAAGTGGTACCATCCAGAGACATTTCTATAAAGCTTAAGAGAAATTGGAAAATTCAACAATATAACAAAAGAAGTTGCTTTATTTGAGAGACCAAACATTATGTCAGTTTTACAAAAATTGAAAAACTAAAAGAAATAAGCACTTAATCTGAAAAACAATATGTTTAAACATACATAAAAAAAATCAGCCGGATATGTAAAATTTCAGTTCTATACCGCGAAGAACAGAATTATTAATAAAAATCTTGTTTTAAATTGCGTTGCATACAATTAAATTACATGTTATCTTATATGTATAAATGAAAATGGGATAAGTAAAGTCACATTATCTCTGTCCAAAGAATCTGCAATTAACAGCTTACCCTAGTTTTTGGTAACACTCCGTATGGTTTAAACTTTGCCCTTATTGCAAAAGTTACTTAAAACTTTGAGAATCATTTAACTCACAATAAATATGGGCACTACACTACATTCTACGAGTACATTTAACATAATTTTATATTTAAGTGTGTTCCGTTCTCTATTGTAGCTTTGCGAGCGGTGGTGGCCCAGGTCCCCGTAGAGATATGGCTCCCGGACGCAGATTCTAAGACGGCAGTATTGCGCATATTTCATACTCCTTAATAAGTTCATCGCTCTGCATAAACCTCCCTTCGTCGTTACATAATTGTAACAAAATCATCGTGTTTTTCATTAAGAAATAAAAAGGAACTTAGCGTTATAATTTAGTGTAACATTCATCATTTTAATAACGGACAAGTTTAGATAATAGTTTTTAATGTCTTCATCATATTAAATGTAATTAAAAATTAATGTATTCCTAATTTATCGTGATTATTTTTTCTTTGTTAGAGTGACAGATTATTTAAAAAAAAATTTTTTTGAAAACTAGGATTTTTTATTAAAGGTGAGTATATTCCAGATAGAAACTATATATTTAAGGTAAAATCTAAACCATATTTCAATAGATAAATTAAAATTTTTAGGTAATTATTTTTAGTTAATTTTCTTAATTTTATGTTACTCCTGTAAAATACACAGATATTGAATGAAAATCTAATTTTAATATATTTTTTATTTCAATTTGGATTTTTCACTAGCACCTTAAAAATCTTTCTTCTTTAGAACTGCAAAAAATTTTCAAATATCAAGATACAAACAAACACTTAAATAAATGGTAGAGAATATTGTAAATTCCAAAAATGAACTTTATTAGATGTTAATCTAAATAATAGTTTTTTTCATATTAAATCTGTAGGACTACTCGTAGAATAATTAAAATTTTAATTATAAATGTTTAACTGTTGGAAAAAAATTCATTAAAGAAAAAAATTATGTTTCAGCATCTCCAATGCTAAATCAGATAAATATTTACAAATTTCTGTATTATTCACATAACATCGCTGTTCGATGAGATCTGTAAGACTAATTGTAGAAAAATGACATTACAGTCCTGTCATGCTACACTTTTAAGAAGGGTGCAAAATGAGTATAATCTCGGAGTTCACATATTAGTCCAATTAACTAAGCCTTTAAATCGAAATTTTGTCAACTTGGCTGAATTTTTGATATGAGTTAGTTTAAGGTATATTATAACAATAAGTGAGAGTAATTTTTTGTTCAACCCCCGGCCAAGGGTGGAAAAAGATAAAACAAAGGGCTTTTTCAAGATAACTCAAAAAGGGTAAGAGCTAGAAAAAAAAGTTTTTCATGAAAGTTGTAAAGCAGACAATTCTACATAAAAATGGTCTCTTAGCTTTTTCTTGTACTATTAAAATTAACAGAGTTAGGGAGGCTAGAAGTTAAGGGAAGATTTCAGAAATTTAATTTTGTTAAATCATTAAAATTAACGATTAAAAATTTGATTTTTTGTTATAACTTTCTTATTAAAAATTAAAAAATATATCTATTTCTCTGAAAAGAAAAGTTACATATTTTAGAGCAGATTGAAAAAAAAAATTACAAAATTCAATCATTTTTCTGTTTGTTATGATTTTTTTTAAATTTCTGAAATCTTCCCTTAACTTCTAGCCTCCCTAACTCTGTTAATTGTAATAGTACAAGAAAAAGTTAAGAGGCCATTTTTATGTAGAATTGTCTGCTTTACAACTTTCATGAAAAAAATTTTTTTTCTAGCTCTTACCCTTTTTGAGTTATCTTGAAAAAGCCCTTTGTTTTATCTTTTTCCACCCTTGGCCGGGGGTTGAACAAAAAATTACTCTCACTTATTGTTATAATATACCTTAAACTAACTCATATAAAAAATTCAGCCAAGTTGGCAAAATTTCGATTTAAAGGCTTAGTTAATTGGACTATATACTGATTAATGATTGAAGAATAATTTAAAAAATGTTAGTTCTATATTTAACGATTTTTCATTTAAAAAAATGTAGCAATTACTTCTTTGTAGGCTTTTATGCACAAAATGTAGAAGTTTTTTGTTCAAATGTTTTTACAGAACTAAAATTATGTGGAACTATTATTTATTTCTACCAGTAATCGTCACTCGATTCAGTAGTTTCAGGCTTTTTCGAGTTAATTTATTCAAAAGTACTTAATGGCAGCAGAATTATTCATTTGTAATAATCAAACCTCTGGTATCTTGGATGTAGACTAGGTAAGATTATTATGGTCTACATTTATTCATCAGTTTATTATTTGATAATTACTCTTTTTAATTTCAGTTTTAACAAAAAGTAATAAATATACATTTAGGAGACATGTATGTGTTCTAACTATCCTAATATGTACAACTTTCTTGGAAATGAACAATGATTGTTAATTTAATAATCTTGCCTTAAATTTATTGTTCTACTTTTACGTAAATTATTAAAATGGAGGCAATAATCTTCTACCTTAATTCTTCTAAGAAAAAAATCCCTTTGAATGTGTTAAATTCATTATAATTAATATTTTTTGCTAAGTATTTATTTACGTTTTATACAAGGCGATGTAAAATATTTGCAATATGTTTTAAGAACTTAAAGGTTGAACTCTCTTAAAACGAAAACGATATGTTATTTTAATTTATTTTTCAAGTTGGTTATAAATAAACATTAAACGCCCTTCGAAGAAGACTCGCAATTTAGGAAGAAAGAAATCTACCATCATGCGGATAATATTATATTTAACAAGATCTGGTTTATATCACGCCCGATGCCGTTAAAACATAAGAAGTTCAGCGTTAAGGTCTCTGTACAGCAACGTTTATTTGCGGGATTATATCGCTTGCCATTCACATCTTTATTTACGCAAGAAGGTCCTAACGTATAACCAGCGACTGAGCCTGATGAGGCCAATGCGAAGACGTTTCTTTCATTCAAACGAGGTATGTGTATCAGCAGAATATTTACCACTAGCATTTATAATGTACTGCCAAATTGACGTTAACGCTGCGTAACTATTTGAGCGCTCAGGTTGAAAATTTATGACATATTTTCCAGGCAGAGGATTCATAAACGTATTTATTTTAACTTCCTGATCATTTTAAATATATCAAATTGTTAAGCCCCAATTTGATAGAAAATACATTTCCATTAACCCTTTTGTCTTCGTTTGGTTAGTTTCTCCAAGAGTTGACAATGCCCCTACGATTTATATTACTGATACTCGCCCACATTTTATGTGACGTAAAATATGGCAATTGGATAAAAACTAGGAGCGGAACCGCAAAACTTGCCACATCTAAGATATGAAATAAAAATTTGCGCCTCACATTCACGGTTGCGTCTTTACAAACGAACACCTACATAACATCTAATTTCGGAACGAAAGGGTTAAGGATTTGTTAAGACTCGAAAATGTTTAGAAAGGAAGTTCAAAATAAACGCATACTTATTTAAAAGTTTTGTAAACTTAGTGTAACACGTTTTTATGTTTATAGATCATGAATTCATAGAAATGAGGCTTTCTTGAGGACCTAATAGGATAAGAAGATAGATCTGCCATTAACATTATGGATTTGTGATATTGTAAGTAACATAAATATATAAATTAGTGTTTTCGTTTTTTGTCTAATTAATATAAAATTTGATATCCCACTTTTTTAACATTCTTCTGCCATCCTAATAACACCCAAATATTGGCATGCAAATGGCAACTTTCTATTGTTTTTCTACCAATTACCACAGGCTCCAGAGCTGTTGCAGCCTAATTTTATTCACGTTTAAATCTTACATATTTAAGCCCATTTCAGCATGATTCATACTCTATACAGGGTGATTCAAAAAACTGCTGATAGACTTCTAGGGTAGGTAATAAGTGAAAAATTAAGACGAAATGTCTTAATAAACATAGGGTCACAAATGCCTCCTTAACAAGATACAAGGCGTCAAAAGTTTCTGTAAAATTAAACATTGCAATAATTCCAAAGTACCTGAATATTTCTATTTCACATTTTATGAGCAGCAGTGTTGTAGAGATGGGGTCGACATGACCCTTTTTTAAAAATATTTTTTACGTCACTGCTAATTTTGTCAAATGAACACTATTTTCGTGTAAAGTGTTCAATTGTCTATGGAATTGGTCTCTTGCAAAATTTTGATTAAAGCTACAGTTTTTGAGTAATTTAGGTTTGAACTAATTTTGTCAGAATGAAATAACGTGAACAATAAACAACAACAGGATGAAAACGTAATGATAAAAATTGTATAACTGGAAATATTGTAAAATATCAAAGTAGGTACCTACTGGAAGTGACCATCTTGTGATTCGACACACGTTTCTACCCTCCGAGCTAAGGATCTTCTTATTCTTTCAAAAATCCCGGGTGAATTGTTTGAAAGGCTTGTTGAATTTGTTGCCATAATTCATCAATCGAATTTACTGGAGTTACGTAAATCAGCTCCTTAACATGACTCCAAGTGTGGAAATCCAGAGGATTTAATTCCGGTGAACAGGCGGGCCACTGGATTGACCACTACATCCAATCCACCGTCATGGGTGTCATATTTAAATAATCTCCTACTTGTTCAGCGAAACGTGCCGGAGCGCCGCTATTTTGAATAGCACAAACCAAACTAAAATGAATGAAAATAAAATTGGATTCACAAATTTTCTGCAAACGTGTTTTCTTAAAAATGTCTGCTTTAATCAAAATTTTGCAAGAGATCAATTTGATAGACAATTGAACACTTTACACGAATATATTATCCGTTTGACAAAATTAGCAGTGGCGTAAAAAATATTTTTAAAAAAGGGTCATGTTGACCCCGTCTCTACGAAACAGCTGCTCATAAAAATTTTGAGCAGTACATCAAACATTGGTCTTAAGGTGCTAAATATGCGTAGCAAATTTGAAATAGAAATGTTCAGGCATTTTGGAATTATTGCTGACAATGTTTAATTTTACAGAAACTTTGACACCCTGTATCTTGTTAAGGAGGCTTTTGCGACCCTATGTTTATTAAGACTTTTCGTCTTAATTTTTCATGTATTATCTACCCTAGAAGTCTGTCAGCGGTTTTTTGAATCACCCTGTATAAATGTGAGAATTACACTTTTCAATTTGTATGCATTACGATTACTTGAATTGCCTGTTTATACCGTGCTTTCACCATACAACGCTACATAGGGAATTAGCTTCGTTCGAATTCATTAGTTCGGAAGGGTGGGGAGCGCTGGGTGCTGCAACCTGACTGATGTGAGATGTGATTCCGTACGCCACAGCGCCGCACGGTCGCGCACACAGAGATCGACATCCCCACCGCTGAAGCCGCACGAGTTTGACCGATGCACCTCCTATGTAGTGTTTTCCCGTGAAAGCACGGTATATAATAGGCCAAGCAAATAAAATTTTTACTCGAAAAAAGTCCTATCCGTGAGATTAT